CCACTCCTGCTTTACAGGTGAAAATAGAGCAACAGGACCGCTGAGTCTTTGATGTTATTTATTTTCTGCTGTGTTTTACTTGCATCTATTTGAAAGAGTGAGTGTAAAAATGTAGAATTGGGCTGAAAGATCTATCATTTTATAAACTATTCAGGTTGTAAATCGTGTTTTTAAAAAGTAACTAAGTAACTAAGTGATTAATTACTTTTGAAAATAAGTAATCAGTAAAGTAACGGGATTACTTTTTCGGGAAGTATTTTATTTTTTATTTTATTTTATCTTGCTCATTAAAAAGGTAAAAAAAATTAAAAATAATTTTCATTATTTCAATTATTTAATCTGAATCTGTTTATTTAAAAAAAGCAATAAATAAAAGTACAAACCCAGCACTTTTCCAGTTAATGCTAAATCATTTTCTCTCCAATTTTGGCACAAAAATGCAGGAAAAAAACGAATATTGTGAATTTAATAAATTTGAATGTTAAGCATTTGATAAGAAATACTACAATTTCCTCATCAAAAGCTAAATCGTTTATAAAACAGCTAGCATTTTCTAGTAATTATAATAATAATCTTTAAAATAGCTGCAACACGTACATAAAGATTTACGCTGTTTTATTTTGAAGGGTCTCTCGCTGTGTTTCCTGTCTCCTCGGCCAGCCTGCTGACGTCACCGTCGGTCCCAGTATAAACGCGGACGGTCCGGAGCGCTATGTTAATGAGCAGCTTCAGGCCTCCAAACACGGGTGAACCCAGCTGTCCGGAAACAAACGGCCTGAGCCGGAGGAGCTGGCGGGGTCCTCCCGGGACTGGCGCTCAGTCTGGGACTGTATGACACGTTTGGCTGGAGCTGCGCAGATAACGGTCCGAGCCAGAGCCGTGATTTCCCGCTACTTTACCGACAGTAACGGACACTCCCCCGCCCGGGGTTCGGGACAGCACACGCCGCTTTGTGTGGGCGTTACATGGAAAAGAAGCGCCATGGAGTTTCAGCGGAGCCTCTCCCAGAGCTCGGACACGGTGAGGTAACGGGAGCGGGACGGGGTTGCCTCACACACACACATCAGACAGCAGCAACCTGTTGCTGGTTGCCGGTGACGCAGAGAGGATGAGCGGGACTACCGGACTGTTGCTGCTACTGCTCAGCGGCCGTGCTGCGTTCATCGTCTGCCGGTCCCTGAACGCACCCCAGGATGTGGGGAGTCTGCCTCGGGATGAACAGACGGACGGTACCGACAGTCTGACAGCCACGGTGACAGGTAACGATAACCGACTGATGGGGCCGACCGTCATTCAGGAATACACCCGGAGCTTAAAAAGTAACCATGTAATTCATCCAAAAATCACTGAATCTGGTCTTCTCAACCTATTTTTATTGAAAATAAAACAAAAAAATAAAGGAGCCTCTTTACATTTAATTAGAAATGTGTAAACAATAATCAGAGAAAGAATCATAAAGCTGAACATACTGTATCTCTACTTAAATTAACTTGGTAATATGAAAATTTTAAAATTATAATGAACATGTCCAAAACCCAAGAAGTCTGGGTAAAAAGAAAAATCACTGGGATTAAAATAAAAACATTAATTTAATTTTCAAAAATATTTTTAAATTTTATTTATTTATGTATGAAGTAGTTACTTAATCAAAGAACAGGAAACAATGAATGTAGCTGTGATAAGTAATATAATATAACTATACTGAGACTAGTCCTGGTTATGTGCAAAGTCGTCCTCCAAAATGTCAATTTTTACATCAGGAAAAACCAAAATTAGAGGTTTAAAAAATAATTAAATAAAAGAGAACAAATGTGCCCTACAGCCAGAAAATGTAGGAGAAATATTTCATTAAAAACATTTAATCAAGGATTGTTTCAGTTTTCAGCCTGTTCGTGTGTATTATTGTGTTTATAAATATGTTTCTGTGGGGACCAGTGTGAGTTTTTAACCTGGGGAGTGAGGTCCTCGTGGGGCGTGAGGTCCTCGTGGGGCGTGAGGTCCTCGTGGGGCGTGAGGTGATGGTGGTGGTGCCAGTTCTCCGCAGCTGGATTAACCCTTTGTCTGGATTAAACTGATGACCATTTGGATCGATCTAGGATTTCTTGGTGTTGTTGCCATTGTTGCCATAACAACACATCTTGAAGGCGGACCTACATGGAAGCACTTTTGTTGAGTTTTGGAAGATTGCGTGACAGACTCAAACCTGTGACCACGCCACTATGGCAGCCGAGGAAAGGCTGCTATGTGGCTTCTAATGTTGAATAATTCTGTCTGACTTTATTTTGTCACATAGAGGTTTATAATTCTGTAAATTACATTAAACTCCAGATGTTCCAGAATCACGTCCATCACGATTATGTACGCGTCTACAATTAAGATTGCTTAATTAAGCGTCACCCAATAGTGTCCCTGCTCGTATAAGGTGGAGACATTTGTGCTGAAGAATGGCAAAAACGCACAATCACTCTTATCTGTGATCACTGTGGATCTGCTACTTTTCACAAGTCTGGGCTAACTTTAAAAAAAGAAAGTAACTGATTATATAATTACATAAATTTAAAGTTAAAAATAAATGTGAAAAATAGTTGCATCCTCATGACATCACAGAGAACAGTGTAAGCTAATGAGGGCGCTTTTAAAGATAGCAATACGAACGGGTGTAACCTTTGACCTCTTTCTAATTTAATACCTGGCATGTTGCCGTGGTAGCTAATTGGACTGCCTCTCTGTAACCTGCGTGAACACGACAGAGCGTCCAGACGGCGGACGGCCTCTGATTGGCTGTCAGACAGCACACACTTGGTTCTCAGATCAATTGTTAATAATTAGCAAGTATAAAACTGCCATAGAAACAACATGATCGTGTAGCCTCTGTCTGGAACCCCGTGTTCCCAGTTCTCCCAGTAGCTTGCTGGAGTTCACCGTCTGTCTTTGTTCTCAGGTGTGGACAGACGCCAACGCCCACTGCTGGCAAAAACTCGCCCATTCGTTCTGGTGGACGGGCAGAGACGGAGCCTCGAGGAAGCTTTCCGGGTAGGATGAAAATGTCATTTCGAGGTGGTGCTGCTGTTTGGGTGGAGTATCTGTGTTGGTGCAGTGGTCCTGAGCTCAGTCTGGTTTCCAGCTGGAACTGGATATTCGGGATGGGTGGGAAACACATTCAAACACACACTTCCCTTCCCTATTTGAGAAAACAAAGCTGATTTAACCCGCCCATCTGTTATCGCGGTTACCTGATGCGAGTATTTTGGGCACGACATGAAGGGCGTGAAGCTCTGCCTCCACAAACTGCATGTACGGCAGCGTTATGAGGACAGACAGCTGAAAACACAAGAGGAGGAGATTTTAAATCATGTTTTTCACTTTTTCAATATTCACCAGTCCTCATTTGTAATATTTTTTTCTGTTGTCAAACATCAAATCATGAAGTCTTTGTGTTGCCCGGCACTAGATTATCTCCAGCAGACGTGGCCGGGCTGTGGGGGTGGAAGTGTCAGCACAGATTGTGTGTTTCCACACTGACGTTACTTGGACAGGTTACAGGGTCCTTCCTGCACACAGAAATCATCTGCACAAACACAACATGTTGTTCTTCAGGTGATGATACAACACAAATGAGATCCTTCAGCTAGGCTAATGCTGCCTGATTGCCTTTCTCTGTGCGTGGACTTACATGTGCAGTCCTCCCACAGAGATCCACTCTGAGCCAAAAAAATGATATTTGCACGTTTTTGAATGTTACTGTCCTTCTGAGAGGCCGATGCTGTCCACAGTCAGTTTCCACAGAGACAATCTGAGGTGAGCATTGTCCAAGTCCACCATCGTGGACTTCAGCCAGCGACCGTAGACCTTCCTGCTAATCGTAGGTTCAGACCAGAATCTGCACTAAGCTCACTGAGACTGAAGTCCACTGTGGAGGGCGTGGAGTGCATCAGCAGGCCACGAGACTCCTCTGAGAAACAGCTGATTGCAGTAATCATTGAAGACTCTGGAGAAGTCTCCATTTATGGAGGACACGCTACATGTTAGCCAGGCTTTGTTTGACTGCGTCTTCATCCAGCGAGTGTGGGAGCAGTGGGCAAAGTCGTGACTCTTGCTTGGACTGTGTCTGTGTTTGATGGATACACTGACGCGCTGCACACGCGTCTGAGATGCTGTTGGATGATTCATGTTAGCTAACAGTCGCAGGTGTTTGTGAGGAGGCTGTTTCTTTGTGGTGTAGTTTGTAAAGAAGGTATCGTTTACAGTGACTGTGAGAAAAGCGTGTGTAGCTTTATTGGTAATGCTGGATAAAGTTCGTTTGACCTGAACGGAAACCCTCAAACTTGAGCGCTCCACAAAGACTGACGGCAGAGCTGCGGAGTTTATTCTGCAGACGAGCAGCAGGAATCGGCGGCTTTACCTTCTCTGTCTCAGTTTCAGTCCAACTTCTGAGACGTTGTGACTGTTTGAGAGAGGAAGGAAGCCGCAGCGTTGATGGTTTTCACCAGAAGCTTCCTGTAGGCACGCTGAGACCTGACTGCAGGAGGGAAGAAGGGGAAGTTGGGGAAAGAGCGTTGTTAGAGGATGGACACTTCCTGCGCTGCTGAGAGAAGCTCTGAAATCATTTCCTGTAGAAACCCCCACCCATCCCAACCCCACCCAACCAGGAGCGAACGTGGAGTTTAGGAAGAGAGAGTAGGAGAGCGGGGCTGAAGGACCCCAGACCATCAGCTCTGACCAGCAAAACCATCACCGGTGGTGCTCTGCCCATAGCTCCCCATGGCAACAGTCTTAAGTTGCTTCGTGCTGCAAGCTGACGACCTTACAGCTGTGATCTCCAGTGATCAGATGGTCCCATATAAACTGCATATGGTGATGGTGGGGAGGAAGAACTTCCATTTAACATGGCTCAGGGTCACCTCATCCATCCGTTCACAAAGTAGCCACAGACCGTTCCCACCCGGCTCCCCCACCGTCAGCCTTCCTCTGAGGGAGGATCTTTTCAGCAGATGTTGCAACATCGTGGATGTCGTGTAACGCGAGCTGTGGCTCGGAGAACATCAAACACCGGTGGGATCAGTCCTGCTTTCCTTCACGCGAGCCGTTCTTGGGCTTTCACAGAACTGGAACAAAGTTCAACTCTGGCCTTCTTGTTTGTGTTTGGCTGTCGTTGGCGGCGCCTGACGTCGTGCTTCTACTGTGTCTTCCTGACACGCGACGTAAACCAGGCCTCAGCTCTCTCCCTGTTGTTGCTGTTTCACTCCTCCTTGTTTTTTGGCCTTTCTTCCTGCTCTGTTGTGGTCGGCAGCTCTCGGCCTCGCCCAGAGTTTCTGCAGCTCTGACATCATCTGGAGGCCGGGCGAGAGACATGACCTCACTGCATGGAGAGCGAGTTTTAGGGGCGAAGAGGGAGAAACCTGTCAAGAAGGGAGGGTGGTAACAGATGGTGAGAGAGGCTGAAAAACACAGCGAGGGGAGGATGAGGTTATAATTAGGTTTGTGGAGCAGAAATGTACTTTCAATAAAAACCTTAGAAACAATCACAACAGTGAAAGAAAAAAGTGATGCAATGAACTTTTCCTGAAGTATTAAAACACATGTATGTGCTCAGACACACGAGGAGGGCTGATTATCAGCAGGCTGAGAGGGCGGGCACAGCTGTACGTGTCACCGGGCCGCGTTTCAGGAGTTTGCAGGCCTCCCCTTAAATGCCCTGTAAGTTAGTCTGTAGGAACATCATCATTGCAGTGTGTGGAAATGAGGCTACATATAGCATATATTCAGGTGACTGCCTCTCGCTTATGTCTGCAGATAGCAAGACGTCAGGTTTCTTAAGCAAGAGGACCAGAGCTGTCCCACCGGAGTGTCCGACGGGGTCCAGTCCATTCATTAATGTTTCCATATTTTCAGTGAATTGCACTGCTGTTATATGAAGAACTCCGTGATCTCTGACTGTTATGTTCCTTTGTGTAACTCGCACTTGTTTCTGGCTGAAAGCTCGGAGTGAGTCAAGCTGATGGAGGAGTGATGTTGAGGGCAGACTGAGCGTGGCTCAAAGTGCTGAATGAGCTGAAGGTGAGCGGCTGAGCCGACAGGCGACGGTGAATCTAAGCACGGGAGAATCCAATTAGCATCGAGGGGGGAAAAAAACACAGAGCAAATTTAGCAAAACCAATCACAAAGGTCTTAGTGTCTCAGCGACGCCCAACGACCTGGCAGAGGAGAAGCGAGCCGAGGTCGATGACCTGCAGGGGACGACCTTGTGAACCTCAGCTGTGCAGGCTGATGGGAGTTCAAACATGAGAGAAGGAAGTGGAAGCACGATAGCTTCAACTCACAAATGCAGAGAGACTGCAGGACACAAAGGGAACCAAGTGAGACAAGGAGACGCATCCAGGACCAAAATCACAGAAATTCCATTCAATTTTATTTATACAGCACCAAATCACAACAACTGTCGCCTCAAGGCGCTTTATACTGTAAGGTCGACCCTACAATAATACATACAGAGAAAACCCAACAATCATATGACCCCCTATGAGCAGCACTTTGGCGACAGTGGGAAGGAAAAACTCCCTTTTAACAGGAAGAAACCTCCGGCAGAACCAGGCTCAGGGAGGGGCGGGGCCATCTGCTGTGATTGGTTGGGGTGAGAGAAGGAAGACAGGATAAAGACATGCTGTGGAAGAGAGACAGAGGTTAATAACAGATATGATTCAATGCAGAGAGGTCTGTTAACACATAGTGAGTGAAGAAGAAACACCCAGTGCATCATGGGAATCCCCGGCAGCCTACGTCTATTGCAGCATAACTAAGGGAGGATTCAGGGTCACCTGGTCCAGCCCTAACTATATGCTTTAGCAAAAAGGAAAGTTTGAAGCCTAATCTTGAAAGTAGAGATAGTGTCTGTCTCCTGAATCCAAACTGGAAGCTGGTTCCACAGAAGAGGGGCCTGAAAACTGAAGGCTCTGCCTCCCATTCTACTTTTAAATACTCTAGGAACAACAAGTAGGCCTGCAGAGCGAGAGCGAAGTGCTCTAATAGGGTGATATGGTACTACAAGGTCATTAAGATAAGATGGGGCCTGATTATTTAAGACCTTGTATGTGAGGAGCAGGATTTTGAATTCTGGATTTAACAGGAAGCCAAAACAGGAGAAATCTGCTCTCTTTCTAGTCCCTGTCAGGACTCTTGCTGCAGCATTTTGGATCAGCTGAAGGCTTTTCAGGGAGTTTTTAGGACTTCCTGATAATAATGAAGTGTCCAGTTTTATTGTTTGCAGTACTTAATCATAGTTCTTAAATCTATGATTATTAAACGATTCGCCAATAAGAAAGTCGTTTATTTCAGATCAAAATCAGGATTTTCCAGCCGGGTGGAGCTCCTGAACCACAGCACTGTGGAGTTTCTGATTTGGCTTAAAAAGCAGAGTTCCTGCAGTGGAGCTAATTACGTTTTGTGTTTCACTCTGATTTGATTAGCGATGAATTAAGCCGACTCAAAAATGACCCAGCAGCGACGCCGCCGCCGCCGTTCTCCGCCCAGAGTTTGTCTCTGCAGTTCTAAATACGTCAGTCTATGAACCATCTTACATCTATAATGCATTTGTTGCTTTAATAATTCTTGTTCTTCAGATTAAGAGCTGCAATAACACGCTCGCCATTTTTAGTAACATGAACAGTAACATCTGTTCCAGCTGCTTCGTCTGCTTTCAGGGAATTATTTGGACCGTTTGGAGAAAAAAAATGCACACGAGAGCAACTCGAGTCACGCCTGTTTCTTTTAGCGGTGAAAGAAAATCTTTGTACATCAGCTGCGTGCTCTAGAAATGAACCTAAAGGGGGCGCTGTCATGCTCGTCTGGAGGAACCAATCAGAGGTCTGAACAGCTGCATGTTTCCAGCTCGCAGAGTTTAGTGTGTCGCTGATTCAGTTTCGCTGCCTCTCAGAGTCGGACCCTCCCAGCTGCAACGATCATGACTCAGCCAACACACACACACACACACACACACACACACACACACACACACATCCTGCTGCACAATAATCTGACCCCACCACAGTACAAAGTTCAGAGAGGGTGGGGGAAACAAGCACGCCTCAGAGGGGAATTCTGTTCACTTTTAAAGGAGAACTTCACCCAAAATCTCCCGTTCAAACCCTGCAGGACTGCAGCCCATGATGTGAGGAATACGTGTTGTTGTTTAGTATCACCACTAAAAAGAAAGATCCGAACGGAGCGAGGGCGGTCCAGGCCACATGTTAGTCCAGCTTTCCAGAAAAACAGAACTGAAGGTTATTAATCATCGAGTGGGAGGAGAGCAGAGATGCTCACGCTGACTATTCATGAGTCAGCTGTGAGTTGTAAAGCTGCTTTTTTGTGTAACAAAATGAAAGATGTTCAAAGTTTGACTGTGTGCTGTGAGACCAGAGCTGTGTGAAGGTCCCACAGTTCCCCCAGTGTGACGTGATATGATCCAGAAATCAATATAACCCCAGATTATATTAAGAACTGCACATTTCCACGATCGCAGCGCGGCAGCGGCCTGGAGCGGCTCCGTGCTGCGTTCAGGAACCGTAAATGCACCTGGGACAGGAAAGAGAGCAGAGCTGTGTCTGCAGCTTTAAACAAACACTTCTGCTGCCACCTCTGCATTGGACTCGCTGTGGGTGGGGCTACAGGCAGCCCCGCCCACACACAGTGATGGGGAACCAGGTGAGGCAAAGATCAGGCGTTACTCTGGGCTAGCCGGTGATTCTACCTGGAGAGAGAGAACGGAGGAGTCCATGTGGAAATTCAAAGAAGAGCTTCACAGTCGTGCTGAGGAAACGCGAACACGACCATCCAGATGTTCATTTAGTTTAAAGACGGCAAAAAGTTCTGTGGTTTACTGATTTGTTTGATTTGCTTTCGAACAGGACATGTTCTGTATTGAGTATGATATAGATCAGCGGTCCCCACCCTTTGTTGCCCCACGGACGGTTTAATGTCAGGCAGTATTTTCACGGACCGGCCTTTAAGATGTCGCGGATAAATAAACGCAAAGTAAAATGACACGACCGAGACAAAAACGGTGGTAAATATAATAACGAACCGGAATTCACTGTGTAAGTGTGTAACTTTATTAGCAGCGTCCTCCTGAAATGCCACGACAACAATGAGAGTGACATGCTCCTCTCTGCCCCTTAATGCTCTCAGGTCGCTATGGTAACGTGTAAATATCCCTTTCAAAATAAGACACGCAACTACAATGCGGGAAAAGACCCAGGGAAACCGAGTTAATGATAAAAACCCTGAAAACCATAAATTTCACACCCGAGCCTCAGCTCTCGTGGCCCGGCACCCAACGACTCACGGACCAGTCCGGGGCCCGGGGGTTGGGGACCGCTGATATGACACAAGAAAGAGCTCAGGTAAACTTGGGATACACCATGAACTTCGTCCCGGCCGTGCTTGCCGGGACGATGTTTTAACAAAGGAAACTGAAATCCCGTTTTGCATTGCAGTGAGAAAAGTGTAGAAGCCCAGTGCACAACATCTGGCTGATGTCAGAAACATGTGGATGGAGGGGATTTCAAAGCATGTGTCAGGTGGCTCTAACAGGACGTCCAGCTCTAGCTCCGACCCCGACACAGCGGGGCCCGATTCAGTCGCTGAGCCTCGGTGCGCAGCAAAGGTTTATGAGGAAAAGCAGGGCGTCATCAGCCACAGGAACGGCCACGTGGCTGCTCCCCATGACGGGGGTTTCACAGGAACACTGCTGCTACACCCAGTAACACACACTCCTACACTTCCTCCAGAGCTGAGAGGAGAAAGCCGCTGGACAGGAAGTGCCTGCACTACAGAGAGAAGCTCCATTAAGACAGGAAGGTGTATTGATTAGATGGCGGATGTACTCTGCACCGCCACATCCTAAAGGAGCAGAAGAAAGGAAGTCACCGGAATGAAGTAAAAATGGTGGAAGCGGAACAATGAGAGTGGGAGTGGGCTCGCTGAATTATGAGAGTTGGTGCTTTTAATTCAGGGTATGAAATGATGATGATGATGATGAAGTTGAGCAGTAAGTGCGTTTAATAATAAAAATCCAGATGATGATTGGTTCAGGCACACATAGGCCCTCTGTGGTACCTGGAAAAGTTCAGACAGCTGTTAGAGCTGCAGGTGACTGGATATAGAGCAATGAGGAAGCTCCGCCCCTCCACAGCTCTGTTAGTTTCTGTTATCTTAGCCAATCATTTATGCCCCTGTTGTTTACCTCCACAGGTGCCCTCAGCAGTAATTTGAATGTGCAAATCCGTCTCGTTAGCCTCGGGTATTTGTGCCCTTTGGACGCGCTCCATCCTGTTCTTTTCTTTCCTCCAGAGTTTAATCGGCTCATTAAATGAAGGAACTGTTCTTCCTGTGTTCCCAGGATGGCCACCCTGACAGGCTGCAGTGTGGGCTGGAGGTGGGAGGAAGACTCTTCCTGCTGGAGCTGGAGAAGAACCAGTGAGTCTGAGCGGCGTGACATTAAACACCACATGTACAGAACCTCCTGTGACGTTAATCTGAGCTGATATAAATAAAGATGTCGCAGCCGTCACTGCGGATTGTGTCGGATTGAGGAGACATTTTTAATTTTATCGCTGCTGTTTGATTCTGAATTCTTTCTCAGTCGTCGTCGTCGTCGCGTACACTCGCCGTTTCTGACTCGATCACTTCCTGTTGACGTTAGTTTACAGCTGATATGTGGGGGATAGTCAGACTTTATTCTGAGCCCCTCCCAACTATCAGCTGGTGTTTGGTGTTGTAATATTTAACTGTTTTGGGAAGCTGTGCTCTGACACCAGCCTGGCACATCGCAGGTTGTTTGAGAGGCCGTAACGCGAGGGCGCGTCGCATCACTCGTTTGAATGTGATTCTGTTAATGCTGCTGTTTGATTCTCGCCGTCTCTCACACACTTTGATCTTTGTCGTGTCTCTTTAGCGACCTGCTGCCCAAACCGCCAAACGTCTTCTACTACCTCCCCAACGGTACCGGAGTGTCTGTAATGGCCAACCCTGTGGTGAGTCAGCGAACGCACCGCAGCCGTCAGACCTTCCCCGTGGAGTCGTCCAGCTGTGACAGATGCTGTTGTGTTTATGTCGCCTGCAGACTCACTGTTATTACCACGGCAGCGTCAGAGGATTCCCCCAGTCCAGAGTGGCTCTGAGCACCTGCTCGGGACTCCGGTCAGTACCCGCCCCCAACAGGAAGGACAACCTTTCAGGCCCATCACAGCGCCTCTCGCTCTCAGCTGGAGGCTTATTTGTGGTTCAGAGTTTCTAAAAGTCGAGCGTTCGGCCCTTCTTCCGTGAATCCTCGGCTTGGTTTCAGGACACAGACGTCCTCTGCTTTCAACTTTAGCTTTGAAACTTTCCTCTTTGGGCTCGATCAGGTGATCCTGAATCCTCCTTTCCTCTGAAAAACTAAGAGCAAGATACAACAAACTAAAGCTGAGAGAAGATAAACCTTTACATGCCACAGAGAGTGGAGGAGAAAGCCCCACTGCATCCTGGGACGTCTGCAGGAGAGTTCAGGGTCACCTGTTCTGAGTTTAAGGTGGAGACAGCTGTTAGAGGTTCCTGTACGTATTAAATACAGACACTATAAAAATACAGTAATTTCAGTGTGAGAGAGGAAGGAAGAAGAAAAGAGTTTCTGTGCTTAAACGCTCGAACGGACGTGAAGCCTGACAAACGGAGACGCACGGTTCAGGAGGAAGTCGTCGTGTTTAGACAGCGCTGGTTTCCAAACGCTCATCCTGTTCTGCAAAAACAGAAGCTGCAGATTTCTGCTGACGGGTCGAAGCTGAGTGTCAGGCAGGCGGCTGCTCTCTGAAATATGAATATTTATCGCTGACAGCTGTCTGTGTTTAGACTGACAGATGTTCACGTTCAGTCGGTGGGATTCACTGCTGCGTCACGTCAAAAACCAAAAACATGTCAGAAAGCTCCTTAAACCTAAAAACCTCCAATCCGCTCAGTCCAGGACTCGATGTTTCAGGTCTTTGTGTTTAAGGCAGTGTTCTTGGCAGAAAACCCGAGTGAAGCGTCAGCGTTCCAGAGCCGGCCGAACTGATCCGGATCAACGGCCTCTGACCTGACACAGAAAACGTTCGAGCTGCAGGACGATTATCAGGTTTATTTATCAGCACGTGAAGAGAGAGGGTCCGGCCCCGAGAGTAATCGCTGAGCTCAGATTATACACAAGCTGTATTAACCTTTATTCATCAGGTTGGATTACTGAGAACGTAAAAACAAAGATTTTCTGTGCAGCTCAGCGAGCTCTGTGGTGGTTTCCTGCAGCCTGTAGGTCGCCGTGAAAAGAACCGAGTCTGGTTTGTGAAATGAATCGCGAATTTATTTTCTAACTGCACAAAAAAAACGGAGTCATCATTTCCCTCGAAATGATTTCATAACTGCACGCCCATCCTACTTCCTGTGACGTCAGCATCATGATAACAAATCAATAAAAACCAGTTTTATTCTGTTTTTTATTGTTATGTGATAGAAATATTTAGAGTGGAGCTCTGAGGTCAAAGGTAAACACTCCTGTGTGTGTGCTTAGAAATATGAATAGGACCCCTGTTAATCAGCTGCTTCCTCCTGCAGTGGCATCGTCGCCCTGAACGCCACCCTGAGCTTTGAGCTGCAGCCACAGGAAGAGCACCACCATCACCACCACCAGGCGAGGGAGGAAGAGGAGGAGGAGGGTGCAGGAGGGGAGAGTGGAGGAGGAGGTGATGATGATGAAGGAGGAGTCCACCTGCTGTTCTCCACCACCCCCCTGGAGGATGACGCTGCAGGAGGCTGTGGAGTGTCGCACACCGCCGTCCCCCCCATCCACAGCTCCACACACACACACAGGGTGAGACAGGCCGCCATGTTTTTATAGAGAGCTGAGTTATAGTCTGCACAGTCAGGAAGTGCTTACAAGGAATGTGTTACAGGTGTTTGCAAAGGTAAGGCTTAGGGCCCCCAGGAGGTCAGATCTGGAGAGGCTCTGGCCCACAGTCGGTGACAGGAGCCACGCCCCCACGGACATGGAGGGTGAAGTGACGCAGTGCTGTGCTCACAGATCTCACACGCCTGAAACAATCCGCGTGTTTAAGCGTTCCAGTATTTCACCTGCAGTCAAACAGGAAGTGAAGCCGTTCCTCTCCCCAGACTTTGTTCAACAAAGCAGGAATTTTAAAGAGTTTTAAGATGTTAGATGACGTGTTAAAGTCAGATCAGCAGTTCCTGTTTTATGTGAGTAAAACTCGCCTCACAGAGAAGGCGACTCTCTTTAAGGTGAGCGAGTCTGGAGGCTTCAAACTGTAGGTCAGCCCTCGTGCAGCAGCTGTTGACGGGGTCGTTAAACTGCAGAAGTTTGATAAACTACAAATACGTCAGACTTTTACTCCCATTTGACCTCTGACCTGACCTCTGACCTGACCTCTGTGTGTGTTCTGTCTGCAGACGAAGAGAGACATCCTGTCTGAGACCAAATACATCGAACTGGTGCTGGTGGCCGATCACCAGGAGGTCAGTGTGTGTGTGTGTGTGTGTGTGCGTGTGTGTGCGTGTGTGTGTGCGTGTGTGTGCGTGTGTGTGCATGTATTTGAGACGGTCTGTCGGTGTGTCTCTTAGGCTACGTTCACACTGCAGGTCTTAAAGCTCCTTCTGATTTTTTTGTCTGGTTGTTCACACTGCAAATAAAATGTGACTGCAAACGCGCTCCAGTGTGAACGGTTCACGGCCCTCAAAGCGGCCCGCATGCGCAAAAGAAGCCGTCACACACAACGGGCTCTGTTTGCGGAAGGAAAAATGGCGGCTACAGAGCTAGCAGGTGTTGTTGCAGCAGTCTATCGATTTCTGCAGAGTCGTAACCGACAGAATTTTGACAAATTAATTAGAGAAAGAAGGACACTGAGAAAAAAGGGCCCGTGCTTTAACAATGGCCGCCATGCTTTCTCGTTTGTCTCCGGCGCTGATAATCGGCGCCTGTCTTGTGTCGGTGACGTAAAAAGACGGATTTAATGCGACATGACCATCAAACAGCAGTCGCTTTCTACAACATCAGATATGTATCGGATTCAGCACCACATGACAGTGACCCAGGTCGGATTTGAAAATATCGGATTTGTGCCGTTCACGCTGTCACACCATGATCCGATATGAGAAAAGTCGGATTTGATGCGCTTTCGCCTGCAGTGTGAACGTAGCCTTAGTTACCTCTTCAAAGCGGGATTTCACAGGTTTGTCTGATGGGACCCGGCTCAATGCAGCAGAGCGGTGACCTCTGACCTGCAAAGGTCATGTGATTTGACAATTAACATGGCCTGGCGTTTGGAGCAGAGAGGAGGGGCGTGCTGCAGCGAGCCAAACAAATGTCTTTTATAGAGTTTCAGCTGTTTGGGGTTTTTAACCCGCAGTAGCGCGTTCTCGACACAAGATGGCAGCAGTTTGTTTCACCCTGAAATGTGCCGACTGATTCTTTGTCGTTTGCTGCATTTGATTTGCAGTTTAACATGTTGGTTGTTCCATCCTGATGTGACTAAAGCTGCAGTCTGCTCCACAGTTTCTGAATTACCAGAAGAACAATAACACCATCATCTACCGCATGCTGGACGTGGCCAACCAGGTGGACTGGGTGAGATCTCTGACTTCCTGTCACAGCCGGCCTCTGTAACGCTGCAGCAGCAGCGCACCTGAACCGCCTCTTCTTTCTGTTTCAGTTCTACCGTCCCCTGAACGTCCGCGTGGCGCTCACGGGTTTGGAGATCTGGAGCGACCGCGACAAGATCCGTGTGGAGAAGAGCCCGACCGACACCCTAAGCAACTTCCTGGAGTGGAGGACCAGAGACCTGCTGCCACGCCTTCGCCATGACAACGCCCAGCTCGTCATGTAGGAGCACTTACCAAAATAAAAGTCTCGCAGCGCTCCTGGTTCGGGTCGTCACGTGTTCGTTTCTTCTTCACAGGGGCGGGTCCTTTGACGGCACCACAGTGGGGATGGCGTCTCAGTCATCCATGTGCTCCAGAGACAGGTCGGGCGGCGTCAACGTGGTGAGTCGGCCTTCGCGTCGAGCTCCGTTTACTTCCTGTGTCACTGATTTATTGATTCGTTTACATTTTTAGCCAAACAAGATTTTAGTGTAAAACATTTTGATCTTTTTACACTTTACTGACAAAATACTTGGCTCCATAAAAACGAAGCGATTTCTCTCTTCCTGTCAGGATCACCTGGTCAGTGTTCTGGGCGTGGCTTCAACTGTTGCTCACGAGCTGGGTCACAACCTCGGGATGAGCCACGACACCGCGGAGCGCCACTGCTCCTGCCAGAACGAGCCGCGGCTCGGGGGCTGCATCATGGAGCCCTCAACCGGGTCAGCATCAGACCAGAACCCCCAACCCCGCTGAGACTCATCGCTCGAGTCCGGCTTCTCTCTTTACTCTGTGCTTTAACTGCTTTACATCTCTGAAGTCTTAAAGGTCTCGTCTCAGCAGGAGCACAGCTGCTTTTAGTCGTTCCCCCTTTTCCCAAAGAATGTGCTCTTAATGTCTCGCCCGGTCAAATAAAGTTAAATAAGGTTGTTGAATTTTCTATTCATTTTCAAGAAGTACCTCTTATTACGCCCTCGGACCCGTCAGGTCAGAGTTCGCACTTCAGGCTGAAAACAAAGGTGAACCGTGACCTTAGCTCCGGTGCTGGATCGTGTTTCCTGTTCGATCAGCTCAGTCTGTCGTGTAAAAACCCGATAAAGCCTAAATGAAATTATCCACAGAGACCAAAGCGTTTGGTTTTTGCATCAGGCTGTAAATATGCTGTGAAGTCGGACTTCTTAGGCTCCGTCCACATGAACACGGGTATTTTTGAAAACACAGATTTTCCGTTTTTGTTTCTTTGTTTCTAAACGGAGGGACGGTAACTGTGTGTAAATGTAAGCAGGACAAAACTGCAGATAGTCGGATTAACAGCCATCGTATTTTATCTCTATCCGCCATTGTAGAAATAATCTGATGTAAACAACAACGTGGCGCAGCGCCACATCAAACAAGGCGCACAGCTTTGACGTTGCGTGACTAACTCTCAGTTTTCCTCGTCCACACGTAAACGCAAAAACTGAGTTTTTGAAAATCTGCACCCTGGCAGGAGTTTTAAAGAATCTCAGTTATCAGTGATCAAAAACGCCGTTTGCGTGTGACGCAGCCTTAATGTGTCTGTTGTTTACTGGCTCTCTGCTGGAGCCTCAAGTGGCCATTAGAGGAGCCGCAGGTTCAGTTTCGGTGTCATTTTTCAGTCCTGAGGCTTTCCTGGTTTGTTTCTAGCCGTGTAATACCGTTGTCCTGTGACCTCTGACCTCAGGTTCATGCCGGGTCAGCTATTCAGCAGCTGCAGCGCTGCAGATCTGTCCGTCAGCCTGCTGCACGGCGGCGGTATGTGTCTGTTCAACGTGCCACAGCCGGAGCACCTGCTGGGAGGACCTCGCTGTGGAAACCTCTACGTGGAGAAGGGAGAGGAGTGTGACTGCGGCCTGCTGGAGGTACTCGCCTGTTCACCTGCTTCTGCAGCACGTTTGCTTCAGTTTCAGTCACAGTTACTCTTCGTCACTCCTAGCAGTGATGAAGGTCACACACGTTACTTTGGTTTGTTCTCCTTCTTGATGATGTGCTGCTGTGCTCTGATTGGTCAGGAGTGTGAGGACCCCTGCTGTAACGCCTCCACCTGTAAGCTGGTTCCTGGAGCTCAGTGCTCATCTGATGGTATCTGCTGCCAGGACTGTAAGGTCAGGCTGACGTCGATGCCCACAAATATAAAAACAATGTTTCCTGCAGTATTTTCATCTAACTCCTCCTCTTCCTCCTCCATCAGCTGCGAGCGGCGGGTTCGGTGTGTCGTGAGCCTCTCGGGGAATGTGACCTCCCTGAGTACTGCACAGGCTCCTCCCCCTACTGCCCCCCCAATGTATTTCTGCAGAACGGGGAACCCTGTGAGGAGGGCGCCTCCTACTGCTATGGAGGAGTCTGCGCCAGCATGCACAGCCAGTGCCAGACGCTGTGGGGACCCAGTAAGACTCCAGTCTGTACCTGTCCCTCATTTCCTGTCCTGTGCTGGATGTTTATATTAAACATGGAGGAAATGATCACTGTGAGCCACAAATGAGGACTTAAAGCTGTGTGAGGACGACACAGCTGAGAATGAGCAGATAGATTTAAACCGAGTCTAAATCTCCTATCAATCACAATTTATCACAGCTTATTTGAGCCTAAATCTGATTGCACCTCACGTACCAGCGACCTGGAGTGAGTTTGACCCGCACAGTGAACAACACTGAAGCCAACAAAGCTTAAACCAGTTTGCACTGAGCCAGCTCCTGTTTGAAGCCTGGTTTCTGTTGTACTCTGACTAAACTTTGGCTGTTTTGGTTTAAACCAGTTTAAAACGTGCATTTGTGACTGGTTTTTATTTCTGTCTTCAGATGCCACCAGCGCTCCCGCCGTCTGTTTCTCGTCTGTGAACAAAAAGGGAAACAAATATGGAAACTGTGGTCAGCTGACCAACGGCTCCTACATCCCCTGCAGGAACTCGTGAGTCCACAGGGGCACTGTCATGGTCACTGCTGCGTTACTGTACTGCAGGCCTACAAATCCCATCATGCCCGTGTGTGTGTGTGTGTGAGTGTGTGTGTGTGTGTGTGAGTGTGTGTGTGTGTGTGTGTGTAATCATATCTCTTTTTGGAGACCAAAAATTGGACGTTTGCTATGCTTATGGGAACCAAAATTCCAGCTTTTCCCGCACTTCACTTCCTGTCACGTTTGCTTGCCGATGCAGGGACGTTCACTGCGGCAGGATCCAGTGTCAGGGTGGGAGGGACCGCCCCCTGCTGGGCACCAACGCAGAGATCCTCACCACCAGGGTCCACTTCAACAACAGCGACCTGGTCTGCAGAGGCACCTTCTTCCACCTGGGTGACGACGTGTCCGACCCCGCCACCGTGGCCCACGGCACCGCATGCGGCCGCGGCAAGGTCAGACAGCGCCTCCTACAGGCTGGGGGACAGTTTGTATTTGAATTAATTCTCTTTAGTTGCAGTGATTTTAATTATGCAACAACAAAAAAGGATTAAAAGCAAAGCGTCTGTGTAGGTTCACAGTCTTCCAGGTCACGGTTAACAAAGCAGCTGGGAAAGAAAAATAAAGTTTCAAAGAAACTTTAGTCCAGTGGCTTTTTTCTCCAAGCTCCTTAAATAAAACCGAATGTTCCACTGAAGTTCCAAATATTCCGAGTTTTGTAAGATTTTTGTGAGAATTTCTTGAAACAAACTTTTGTAGAAGTGTGATTTTGTTGCTGTTTCAGGCCTGTTTGAACCAGAAGTGTCAGGATGTGTCAGTGTTCGGTGTGGACGAGTGTCGCAGGAAATGCAACGGCCACGGGGTGAGTCACGTTTAAAAATGTGTGAGGTATACGTTGGCACAAAGACAGAGGTTTCCACCATAATTTCACATGAGACCAAATAAACTCATCAGTGTTTACTGAGGTCATGATTTATGTGCTGAGGAGTCGCCCCCTGCTGGTCATGAGAAAGACGTACTGCCTTGCACTTTGGGAGGATCCTTCAGATTAAAGCAAAAGAACAACAACCTCAGAAACTCTGTAATTCTAAACACAATCTTATAATTCTGAGTCGATGCGTCGGCCGTACAGACAAGAACAGGGAGACGCCACCGCCAGAGACGGTTAGGAGCAGCGATGGGCAGTAACGCGTAATCGAATTATTTTTTTCAAGTAACACGTAAACTAAGGGATTACTATTGCAAAAAAGTAATTAGATTACTGTTACTTTCACATAAGCACGCTGCGTTACTAAACTGATTTATGTTTGTGAGAGTGTCTCGTGGCAGCAGACGTGTGCAGATCAACGATGGATAATATGGTATTTACCTCCAAAGTCCCATAAAAGAAGGAGTCCCATTGTTAGCATAAACTCAGCCACCTACAACATTTCCACCTCGCCACCATCCTAGTGGTGAACACCCCCCATCGCATGAAAAACTCCACCAACAAGGTCCAGAAACTTGGCTCCAGATGAGACCGTAGTGTCCTTCGATGAGCTCTGTTTCCTTGCACACCTCCAGCTGAGGCGGTGGAGGCAGAAGCAGCAGTTAGACCTCCGCCTGCTACCACAGACTGTAGCTACAACCGGGTCCCTGCTGTTCTTGGTGACAGTGTGAGTCTGTTTTGTGTGTTTGTGTTGCAGGTGTGTAACAGCAACAGGAACTGTCACTGCGAGGTGGGCTGGGCTCCGCCCGACTGCAGGTACTCGGGTCACGGCGGCAGCGTGGACAGCGGCCCGGCTCGAGCGCCTCGAGGTGCTTCGCTCTGAGCAACCATCCAAAAATGAGACGATCCTCGTCTTCTCCGCAGCGCCCGTTAATCCTTCGTGTTTTTGCGTTCAGAATCGGATCCAGTACGAGTCGCCCTGCTTGTCATCTTCCTCTTCATCCTGCCGGTGGTCCTCCTCTTCCTCGCTCTTCGTTTCCCTGGTTTCCGTCAGCGTCTCTTCTGCCTGGGACCGAACAGCCCATTTCATAAAGCTCGACAGCACAACCGGTAACCCTGTGTGTGTGTCTGTGTGTGTGTCTGTGTGTGTGTGTGTGTGTGTGTGTGCTGTGGTGTCTGTGTGTGTGTGTGTGTGTGTGTGTGTTAGGGCTGGGTATCGTCACTGATTTCTAGAATCGATTCAATTCCGATTCACAAGGTCCCGAATCGATTCCATCCACGATTCATTTGAATCTGGGAAATTTTGACAGTCAGAAATATTATAATTCAGATCAGTACATTTACATATTTTTGTATCTATAAAAAGGAAGCTGACACTTTCGCAGACTTTATCAAAGGTGTGAGCATCACAGCAGAGGCCTTTGTGTCAAAGTAGCTGAAGATAAAACACAGAAAAACATGAAGGTGATTTTCCTGGCCTGGGATTTTATAAAAATATTCTGCAGTAGATCAAAAACGAAAGAAAACCATTAATCAACATATGAACATCACCTCTGAGTTACAGCGGTTTTATTAGAGACACGGCGTTTTGCATTTTGCATAATTTTAAAAAGTTTAAATTTGTTCAGTATTGAACGGCAGAAATGAGGTTTTCTTTTCGGAAGTAAGTAAAAGGAAAAAAACATCGGCCGACAGCCTGTAAGACAACGGTAGACTGGTGCTAACAAGCGCAAAGAGAGAGAGGGAGAGAGAGCTGTGCATCCTGGTGGAAGCAAAACAGTAAAAGTCAGAGTGAGTCCATGATGATGTTCATGTGAAGCGTAGTTTGGATCTTCTTTTGCTGCTGGTTCGGTCAATATTGTTTGGAGAGACATCAAACTAACAACTTTAGAATCGGCTCATAAAGGGCGTGAACACAAGCGCGGACCCGCCGACACATCAGAGTCAGCGAGCTGTCGGCTTCCAGCCCCGACCGTGAGAAAGTCACATCTCACTGATTCTGATCCGCGGGTCGCGCTGTGTGTTTAAGTCTTTGTGCAGAATCCGTGTTCCTGCTCTCATTTACTGTTTTAGCTGTTTGGTGGTTGTTGAAATTTTGTGAGTTTCACCTGAGATTCTGGCATTTCGGGCAAAATAAATTTATATTAAAAAATCGATTCAGGATTTTAATGAATCGATTTTACGTTATCCAAGCCAGAATCGATTTTAATCGTATGAATCGATTATAAAAACCCAGCCCTAGTGTGCTGTGTGTGTGTGTGTGTGTGTGTGTGTGTGTGTGTGTGTGTGTGTGTGTGTGTGTGTGTGTGTGTGTGTGTGTGTGTGTGTGTGTGTGTGTGTTCATGTGGTGAGTGCGCATGTGTGTGTGTGTGACTGATGAAGATCAGTTAAACCAGTGCAGTCTTCCTTATGTGAAACAGTTAGCTTCATCTCAGTTGTACCGCCTCTCTCCACCTCCAGCCTGGTTCTGATGTGCTCTTTCTTACCCATGATGCAGTGTGGCTGACTGTGAGATGTGGGGTTTGGAGGTAACGCCCGCCCACGTCTCCAGGTACTGCTGGACCTGCAGGGTCCTGCACTGTGCTCTGTCCCGTTAGAGTCAGAGAGGTGATGAAGCGCTGGGCCGATGGATGCTGATAAAGTGTCTCTGCTGTCGTTGACATGCTCGCCCGCTTCCTTCACCTCACTGACTGTCTGCTCTCACCTGTGGATCAGAACCAGGTCAGGACTTAAAGCTGTGCGGGTCCACGTCTCCTCCTGCAGAAACTAAACAAAGTCAGAGTTTGAGGCTCCTTCAAGCACGTCTCAGGACGCGCTTTCCTGGCGCAGCTTTAAGTCTTACCTGGATCCTTCCCACCTGACTCCTCACAATCAGCAAACTGAGCAGCAGGGCCTCGTAATGTTTGTTCTACTGATGATTTATAGATCTAAAAAACGAAAGTTGTGCTGTTAAATTTGGCCAAAATCACCTTCATTAAAACAAACACCCAATGAAACGTCTGGTTGTCTATGATGCTGCACAGCTGGAGCTGCTCAGTAAACAGACTTTTTAAATGAAACTTCTCATATATGGGAAAGCCTGCGTAAACACAGAGCTTTGATTTTCACAGCCAGGAATCAAACAGAAAGCAGAGTGATGGTGTAGTGTCCAGCCTGTAGAGCGGCTCAGGTGATTAAACACATGTAAAAACCCCGAGCTCCTCGTGTCCACCCTCCACAAACCTGCAGCAGCTTGAACTGGTGCGGCCGGTGTTGTGTTTGTGGCCTGTAGGTGCGGTGACTTTAGATCAGCTGTTCTGAAACATACAAACTGTAATAAAATAAGAGCATCACAGAGATTCTGAGGACGAGTCCACACCTGAGCTGCCCGTGTCTCTTTGATTTACTCACCTTCTCGTCCAGGACTCCGGCGATGGAGCGAGTGGACGGCAGGAACGGAGAGCAGGTCCGACCTCTCAGATACCACCTGAACCCTCAGACGGACATCCCGCTGACCCCGCCCCAAAAAGAGGTAACCAGAGTAACCGCACAGACACGCCGACACTGACTGTTTGCAGCTGGAGTGGTGCAGCACGCCATGGCAGACCGCCTGAGCGAGCATTAAGGGAATTAAGATGTGTGTGGAGAGCGAATTTTGTATTTTTGAAATCGGCCTTTTTAATAGTAAAGATTTGGTTTTGTTGATTTTCTGTGAGTGAGGTCTACCACTCGTGGTTTGGGGTTTTTCTTTATTTTAATCCACGAACACCTCCTACGTTTCCTTTAAAACGCACCCAGTTCTTCTAAACCTCATCCTGCTAAATATTCGACTCTTTCAAAGGCATCGCCCTTAATCTCTTGAAAAGGTTTCTTGTAAGCTCCCAAAATATGTTTCCATATTTCTCTTCTTGTATCGAATGACATCACAGACGGTGTTACTTTGAGCATATATGACTGTGTGCGCTGTGGCGCCGCTTCCTTCGCCCTGCTCCGTTCTGAGTAAACTTCCTGTCTGCAGTGAGTAAAATTAATACTGAGACTCGAGCAGAAGCGGGCGAGGCTTCGCAGAAACATGAAGTGAAACGTTGCCGACGGCTCAGAGGAAGTGGCACGCTCCAGCACCTTTTTCCTCTTCTGTCTGACATTAACACACCTGCCCGTTTGGCCTCTGACCTCTGAGTCTGTCAGCTGTCACTCTGCTTCTGCTTCCTGTTTCCTCTCCAATCAGGTTCATGACAGACCTGCTCCTCCCACTAAGCCACTCCCCCCAGACCCTGCTCTAAAACCTCCACCGCAGGTAACCGCTCCCCTCTAGGTGTGTGCGTGTTCAGGTGTCCTGAGTGTGTCTGCGTGTCGTCGTGATGCATGATGTGTGTGAGTCGTGTCGTCTTAGTCGTAGCGAATCATTCGTGCAGATTTATGTGTTCAGTGGAAAAGCAGGAAAAGTTCAGCATTTTAAAAGATCCTCAGATTCTCTGCGTCCCCGAGACCTCAGAAATAAAATCAGCTGAGGTCGTCTAACGTGTCGCTCCGGGCGGGACTCTGTAAGAGACGGCATCAGTGAACACAACGAGCAGCAGCGACAGGAAGCACCGGCTACGTGAGGAGAGTGAGGCGTGCTGGTGCGTGTGGACTCGTCTACTTTTCCTTAAACATGACACTAATTGAGCAGCCGGAGGATGGCGGTCAGCTGCATTTCCAAACAGCAAAGGCTTGAGAAGGCGCTCTTCATGCCCGGTTTCAGGCCCTCACACACCTGCACAGGTAGATGTGTTGGCTCGATGAGGTGTTCAGCTGAAGTGGATCCTGGACAAACCAAACGCGCTGCAATCTGCTGCTGCTTCTCCCTCCTTTCCTGCAGCAGCGAAAGCTTCCCAGCAGAAGTGCAGCCAAACACGGCGTGTTGTTTTTTGAGGAGTCGATCAATAACTCTCCAGGACTGCGAACGACTTCAGTGTTTGTTTGCTAGCACCAAAGTGTTTTGGGTGTGAGCCGCCACAAATGCCACATAATTAGGAGCACGTTATTAATTTTCATAGCTGAAGTACAGAAGCCGACTTCGTCAGCTCAGGTGGATGCTCACCTGCAGAGCAGCCTTAACGAGGAATTTTGAGGATTCCCTAAAATGTTGAACTCTTCCTCGCTGACTCAGCTCGGCCTCGTCTCCACCTCCAAACACTGACTCGATGTTCTTCTGACTTTTTATTTCTGCTGCTTCAGTTGGTCAAACAGCGACCGGCCCCCCCCACCAAGCC